CTAGAAGTGAGACGTGTCCAAAACGCTCTACTTTAGCTGCCTCTAGCTCCACAGCGCGTAGGCTGCACGCTTTGAAAGTAGCTGTAATCGATTTCTTGGGGTTTCTTTGTATATATTCGACTAAAATTACACCTATTCTGAAAAACTCGAAGTTGTGGTGTGTGTGTGTTTCAAGTCCTTTAGTAATTAAGACTTAGACTGTCTTTGCACATTTCGAATCTAATCACCCTCACAACGAGAGAGTCGACGCATGGAAAGCGAGTGACCCCTCAATATTGACAGGAGTGAGTCGGAAGTGCTCGCCAAAGATGTTCTCCACCAAAAGCTCGCCCTGTTCGAATGACATAGACTGGATGTTCGGATGTGTAGCCAGGCAGCGAAGAGTCATGCCATCAGATGCCACTGTTGATGTATCTCGGATGATAGGCTTCCAACAGTCCCAGGTGTAGCCGCTCTTGCCGTGTTGATTGTTGTTTTCCTTACATCCCACAACTGCCCAGCCGATAGGTCCGACGAACGTGGCAAGGGCAATGCCAGCACTACCACTACCACCACCAACAACTCCTGCCCCGACGACTGCCCCTTCGCCCACTGCCATAACAGCTGCTCCGGCGGAAGTGATGCCTTGGCTAGCCCCAAGAGCTGGAATGATAGCGGCAGCGCCGGGCTGGCCAACGAGAGCGACAACTGGGGGACAAGTCACGACGGCTCCCAGGACGACGACCATTGTGATAGGTTGAATTAAAGCTTCTAGTACAGCGTAAGTGGTAAGTAGATTTGGATGATGTCAGGGGAAAGAGGGTGCAACAGCGTGGGGAAAATAATTAGGAGAGGAATTTGAATTAGGGCGAAGAGTAAAGACGGTTTGTTATGTACCCTTAGTGAAGCTCGCGCGAAGCCTGAAATTGAATTATTGGTTTATGTATAGAAGAACAGCTATAGGCGTCTTGGGTCTAGATAGACAATATAGCAATGAGGATAGAAGATATGAGGTGACTGAGTGTCTTGTATGATGAAAGACGAATCGTTACCACGCAAGGGACGTTTCGACTCCCTTATCAAATAGTCGCCTGCTATAAGTCCTAAAGGGCCAATACGGTCCACTCAAGGGCCAACGTATTCCCGCTGCGCCTAACAATAACCCCGCTTCATGTCGTGTCTCCTAGGCTTGGCCACGATGAGGCTCAGCCGAAGTGCCTTAGTTTCAGGCCCTTCTTGTTCTAGGGCGAGAGTTCAATTTTTGGAATTATCGTCACAAGGGACTGAAAATGCATCCTCCCATGGCTGCACCGATCTCTGCAGGCCATCGTGCATCCCCCCGCGTCGGTTTGGCACCTGTAGAGCCACTGTTGCGGCCCTGGTTGACACAGACAGCAAAATTTGCGAGCCAGCTACTCAAATGACACATCCACCAGATGCAACAGCAGCGACGTATCACGATCGCCACGGCGATGTGCACAACAACAGCCTGCATAATGGTGCTAGATACTAGGGTCTGTGTTATCGGCGATGACCAAGCTATGCATTAACATATGCATGTGAGATGCTGTCGTGTGACTATGGCTCGCCAGCCCTCCAGTCACATCACTACACGTTTCCGATCAAAATGCTGTTGTTCCTCCCAAAGATTCGCTTAAAACATCTGTAAAGTATTCTGAAAGATCGGTGACTAAACATGTCACAGGTTTTTATTCTAACGCTCGCAGCGTGTGATCATTATTCGAGCCTAATATTATGTAATAAGACTTTCCCTGAAAGCAGGCGCATAGTCTGATAGTCATCTTGCGGTCCTACTTTAATAAATGCATGCCAACATCTTTAGGTACCAAAAGAATATGCTATAACCTGATACAGTTCCATCACTATGAGTTCCCATTCGCGAGCTCATGATGATAACTTGGCAAACCTCACGTGCCAAAAAGTTTGAAGGCTTTTAGGAGCCAACATCGTCAACTCTTTTATGCGATCCGGGGAGGAACGCCACCCATGGCAAGTCAGTGAAACTCAAAAGCTTGACTTTTCGTTTCTTCGAACTTGGGATTTTAAATCAGGGAGCAACGCTAATAGAGATAAACGTATGCTATCGAGATCACCCAAATCGCCTCTTATTACAGAGCAAGCTCGTAGAGACTTCCTTGGCATTCATCTCGACCACAGGATCTGGGTTCCAACACCATACATTTCCTTTACCAAATCGGTCCGCGCAATCGAGGATATCGCAAAATGGAGAAGCATAAGACGAGGAGATCAGACCCTCACTGTCATTGGCCCCGCCACTCGACTTGGAAACAGTCTGCCAATTCTCGATATTACTGCCGAAATGAAGCATTACAATAAGGGAATGGAACACTATATCGACCACTACGTTTGTCTACGAGAAGTTACTGCGGAAAAAATTGTTAGTCACTACAACTGGGAAGAGCTAGTGAAAACTAAGGACTGGTTCGATGATATCATTACACCAGCATTCCATAAGTTAAGCAAGGGAAAGAGATCTAAGTCTATTTCCACTTGTCTATCAGCATTCGATATGCACGATTATGGAAAGTCCTGCTAGTCAGTCATCAACCTTATAGATGCATGCACGCAGCTAATCACCAAAGCCACGCGCACATCTATTCACACATCGAGTGTCTTAAAGACTCAGACAACTCTTCCGAGCATCACTATCTGAATGACGACAACGGCACGGACTCCGATGATCATACAGAAGAGGCGAACCAGAATGACGATATGATCAAGGCAATGGAGGCTCTCTGGTAAGGTGGAGGTTTTATCTGATTCTGTAAAGCGGTCAGGTTCATTGATACCGCTTCTTCGTAATTGGCTTGTGGAAGCTCCACAATATGGATGGTTGTAAATGCTAGTAGTCGAGTATAGGACTCTGCTCAAACTGGCTTTTGGGATCTTGATGAGATCGACGATCAGATCGACGATCATTCTTTCACAACTGATTAGCTTGACTTGAGTTTTCTTTAAAAAGCTATGAAGTTGCAATTGTATCTTTTGATGTTCCTGTGTGTAACGGAAAACCTAGTGGGACGAGTATAGCTACTAAGAGCGTAAGGTCAGCAGACATTCTAGCACGACACTGTGGTTTATAGGGTATTTCTAACCTAGTCAAGTAGTTTTTCAATCTGCAGGAAAGGAGGTTATTTGGGTATGTGACTTGTACCTTGGCTGTTCAGCTGGATACACGTTGGTAATTCTGCTGTCTCAGCCTTCGTGAGTCCAAACCTAACAGAATTCTTGCAGTGAATGTATTAGCGCAGCATCCGTGCGCGTCTCATATACAACAACACATTCAACGGGTAGATTGGCGGCGACGATAAGACGGCGTTGAACAATAATGAGATAGAAGAAAAGGGGAAGGGGCGTGAGAGCCGGCTCACCTCATGGCCAGAAAGGATCACGCTTGGGTAGCCCGTCATTCACTACAAAGAAGGAAAGGACGCATAGATGTACGCCTTCGAGCGACACGAGCACAGACGAGCCAGAAGGAACACAGTCTCCAAAGAAGTCATCTAAAAAGGACAAGAGATGGATGCCTTTATCGATATGACACTTCGGTACCGAAATGATAACAGTTTAGTTCACTGGTTGAGTAATTGCTTAGTTAGGTCTTCATGCCCAGCCTAGCTCTTTGCTCTTTGCATCCAAGATTCCCAACGCTAAACCGTTGAACCGCATCAGCAGTGCCCTGACCCCGGGTTTCCAGATCAACTGCATGTTCGAGGCAATGGTTTGGCTTACGCAACATCTAAGACCGTTGTCTTTTTCGGGTGTGGTCGAGAAAGCGTGACGAGCGGCGATAGGGAAAGCTGGGGTATCCCAGAAAAGCTTGCAGCCTCTGCTGAATTTCTCCTTACTTAGCTCCTTCAGACCTACAACCTCGTACTTGTCGGCCAGTTCGTACATTTTGGCGTGCGTTAGAAGTTGTGACGAAGGTCCAATGAGGCTTGGTATAACGCAAGTCTCACAAGAAAATCCTCTGCACGTGTACCTACAGTCAGTACTACACCGGTGGTGTGGACAGAGTTGACCATATTTGCAGGTATAGCCGTCAAAGCCCATTCCTTGACAGGAATGAGGAAAAGAGAGGCTTTTTGACGTTGTATCCCAATGCTTAACCGGTGTGACAACAGCGAGCGTCGTGGTCTGCGGTGCAGTGGGAGGTAGGACTGGATCGTATTCGCCCTCGTACAAGTATTGCACTAGAAGTTTTACTATTTCTGGATCGTCTTTAGGCAGGTCAATTTGATCAGTTTGCGTTTCCTTGGTCATATCAGTTGAGCTATCTCTACAACCAGCATCTGGAGGTCTGCACCTGTCCACCGAATTTGATTGCACGCGCGAAGAAGCCAGCTCGACCACAAACAATGACTTTGTGGACTCTGTGCGTATCACTTCCGCACTTAATATTGAGATCAGAGTAGGCACCGGATGCCAAGAAACTGCATGGTGGTGAGTAAAAGCGGGGGGTGATGAAAGCGATAGAGCATAAAGAGAGAAGGCACCTTTTCAATGAATCCAGCACCTGCTGTTGCGAGGTAGATGCCATAGTACTCATAGAGGACAAACAACAGGAGAACTGGAAGAAGAAGACTACCGTTTACACTTCAACAGTCAGTCACGCGATTCAGCAAGCGTAGCCAATGTTGAAATGCACGCGCAAGAACACTCACAGACCTACGGTTACAGCATTTAGCTTTTTGAGAGGCTAGATGTTAGCACAGGCACGGCCAGTTTGAAGCAAGCGAGCAAACCAGCTATCGAGAAAACGGAATGAGGGTTCAGTAGATATGGCCATGTAGCTCTGGAGTTGCGCTTAGGGCTTAGATATGTCCCACCACAAATCATGGGTCTACATTAGTGCATTGACACCTAGTATCTATAGAGTCAGCATAGTCCCCAAACATTAATACTCTAATAGTATAGTTACTGCGACTTTGGATATCGCGATGCATCTTGTCACAAAGATCCATGTAACGATGTTACAGCCTCGCCAAGTAGTGTAGGTGGTCAATGCTGCAACACCATCTCGGAATGCAACACCGACTGTGTATATAGGCTCCCACACAAATGAGGCTGTACAGTCCCACACAAAAGCTGATATCACTAGATTTTTCGGTAGAGTACTCTGCTAGTGATATAATATATTTCTATCTACTCGTATTTCTTCGGCAGCTTAATATTCCGGCCGCGCGTGGTGGTTTTGGGCGGAGGCTTGGGGGTCGGCTCCACAACACTATCACCACTTTGAGCAGCCGCAATATGACGACGCCTTGTACTTTTTGACTTATAAGATGATGAGTCTTTTCGGATAGATGTATATTGTGTATTCCGAAGTTTTTTTAAAGTTGCAGCAGCGCGTTCTTCAGCTTTGCGTGCCCTCGCGGCAGCTAGCTGCGCAGCACGTGCCTCACGCTCCTTTGCCCTTGCTACCTTAGCTACCTCACGCTCTATCTTTGCTTGTTCTTGAAGCTGCTTTCGGCATGCGGCAGCAGCAGCTCGCGCCTCTCTATCCTGCTGTTTTTGGAGTCTTGCTGCCTCCTCTTCTTGTTGTTGTACGGCCTCACGCTCTCTGGCCTCTCTAACTGCCCTAGGGCTCCATATTACGGCTAGGCTCTGGTACTCTTGGTGTTGTTGTAGATCCAGAACCTTATTATGCTTTTTTGGGCCTTTTTTGGTGGCAATTACATGGCGTAGTTGCTCGTTTTGAACGTGTAGGAGCTCGTTATTGACCTGGAGTGAATGGAAAGCCTCTTTCACCCGTTTTGCTGCAATTGTAGACGTATCTGGCACTGCAGCTTCTACCAAGTTGGCAAGATGCCTATATGTATCTCCATCACCATGGTCTCCAACTTCTGTATCTATATTGGGTTGTGGGGAGGAGCTAATGAGACGTTTGAGAACGGCTTCGGCGTTGCGTGGAGAACTCCTGTAGCTGCGAAACTGCTTAGTATATTATCAGATGTGAACGCAGATGTATAAGCAGCCCAAAATAACTGTAAAAAGTCACTTTTCTGCATATCTAGCAACGCTTGGCTGCGGTGGAGGAACTTATCCAGTTCTTTGCCGTACGCAGTTGCCAGAGGCCCAAACACCGCAACGTCGAGCGGTTGAAGCCGGTGAGAGGAGTGTGGAGGCAGTACGGCGAGTAGAATCCGATGGGCATCGCAGTAATCGATGAAGGAAGGCGTCACGTGGCTACCGTGGCCGTCAAGCAGTAGAAGCCTCCAGTCCCGCTTTGCCTTCTCTTTTGTCTTGCGGTTAAAGACCTGTTCAAGCCAGGCCAAGCCAATCTCATTGTTGCTCCACCCTGTCGGACTTGTGCAGCAAAAAAGCTGGTGTTTCCCCACCTCTAGGTCGTGTAACCAGCTGTCTCGAAGCCCGCCTTTGCCTTCATAGATGACGACGGGATCTACCCAGCTTCCATCGGCGCAGACGCAACCCATGACTGTTATCCAGTCTCTGCTGCCGTCTTGGAGAGACGCAGATACCTTCTTCTGGTCCCAAAGAGGCTTTGAAAAGACTCTTTTAGACCGTGAAGTTACCCCAAGGAGGAAGCCCTTCTCATCCATATTGTAGATATTGTGTGGCCTAACATCGTACTGATCGAGTTTTTCATGAAGGAGACGGAAGTAGTTACGGTAGTCTTCCATATTATCAGCTTTGCAGCGATCCCGATCAATCCCAGTGGTGGTTTTGTTGGTGATAGCTTCGCGGTGCCTTCGTAAGAAACGTGTAACCCAGCTGTCTGATGGCTCCCATGGCGCAAGTGATGCGACATATTTTTTAATCATAGCTCTTGTAGGTGGTAGCATGCGGGCTGATAGTCTCTGTATATGCTTTACAAGCTGTTTCTCCTGTGAGGGAGTGAGTAACGACTGGTTTTTGGCGACAGCTTCACGGGACTGGCATTGGCGGTGGTGTCGGCGCGTCAAAGTTGATACTGTTACACCATACTTTTTAGCAACTGCGCGATATGAAATTTGACCTTCTGTATCTTGCGAATTAATTTCTGCAATCGCTTTTGATAGAGCTGTCATGGTGGTGGAGATATCACGCGTTGAAATTAGTGGGTTGCTATTTTGATGATGCAGTCGGGTGTTGCATTCCGAGATGGTGTTGCAGCATTGACCACCTACACTATCGGATTAATCCCAGAGCCGGATCGGGGGAAGTATCCGCCGCCCCCTCCCCCAGCTATTGTTCTAGTCGGACCCGGATCGGATCCGACTGAGACAGGTGTATATGGAGACACTCCCTGTAGCTAGCTCAGTAGACTTTTGATATCCTTTCGTACAAGGCCTATAGGTGTCTATTCGAATCAAGGCTCGTTTGATGTCCCACGCACTCCCATATGCCTCTGAGTGACACT